ACTACTACAGCTACTACTACTGCTACTACTACTACAGCTACTGCTACAGCTACTGCTACTTCTGCTACTATTACAGCTACTACAGCTACTACTACTACAGCTACTACTATAGCTACTGCTGCTACTATAGCTTCTACTGCTACTACTACTGCTACAGCTACTACTACTGCTACTACTGCTGCTACTACTACTACAGCTACTACTACTACAGCTGCTACTACTACTACTACTACAGCTACTACTACAGCTACTACTACTACTGCTACAGCTACTGCTACAGCTACTACTACAGCTACTACTACAACAGCTACTACTACTACAGCTACTAGTACAGCTACTACTACTACTACAGCTACTACTACAGCTACTGCTGCTACTGCTGCAGCTACTGCTACAACTACTACTACAGCTACTACAGCTACTACTACAACAGCTACTACTACTACAGCTACTACTACTACTACAGCTACTACTACTACAGCTACTACTACTACAGCTACTACTACTACTGCTACAGCTACTACTGCTACTACTACTGCTACTACTACTACAGCTACTACTACTACAGCTACTACTACTGCTACAGCTACTACTGCTACTACTACTGCTACTACTACAACAGCTACTACTACTACAGCTACTACTACTACTACAGCTACTACTACTACTACTACAGCTACTACTGCTACAGCTACTACTGCTACTACTACTGCTACTACTACTACAGCTACTACTACTACAGCTACTGCTGCTGCTACTGCTACAGCTACTACTACAGCTACTACTACTACTGCTGCTACTACTACAGCTACTACTACAGCTACTACTACTACTGCTGCTGCTACTACTACTACTGCTACAGCTACTACTACTACAGCTACTACTACTACAGCTACTACTACTGCTACTACTACTACAGCTACTGCTACAGCTACTGCTACTTCTGCTACTACTACAGCTACTACAGCTACTACTACTACTACAGCTACTACTATAGCTACTGCTGCTACTACAGCTTCTACTGCTACTACTATTGCTACAGCTACTACTACTGCTACTACTGCTGCTACTACTACTACAGCTACTACTACTACTACAGCTGCTACTACTACTACAGCTACTACTACAGCTACTACTACTACTGGTACTACTACTACTGCTACAGCTACTACTACAGCTACTACTACAGCTACTACAGCTACTACTACAACAGCTACTACTACTACAGCTACTACTACAGCTACTACTACTACAGCTACTACTACTACAGCTACTACTACTACTGCTACAGCTACTACTGCTACAGCTACTACAGCTACTACTACTACAGCTACTACAGCTACTACTACTGCTACAGCTACTACTACTCCTGCTACAGCTACTGCTACAGCTACTACTACTGCTACAGCTACTACAGCTACTACTACTACAGCTACTACTACTACAGCTGCTACTACTACAGCTACTACTACAGCTACTGTACAGCTACTACTACTACTGCTAGTACTACAGCTACTACTACTACAGCTACTACTACTACAGCTACTACTACTACAGCTACTACTACTACAGCTACTACTACTACAGCTACTACTACAGCTACTACTGCTGCTACTGCTACTACTACAGCTACTAATACTACTGCTGCTACTACTACTACAGCTACTACTACTACAGCTACTACTGCTGCTACAGCTACTACTACAGCTACTACTACTACTACAGCTACTACTACTACAGCTACTACTACAGCTACTACAGCTACTACTGCTACAGCTACTACAGCTACTACTACTACAGCTACTACTACTACAGCTGCTACTACTACAGCTACTACTACAGCTACTGTACAGCTACTACTGCTACTACTACTACAGCTACTACTACTACAGCTACTACTACTGCTACAGCTACTACTGCTACTACTACTGCTACTACTACAACAGCTACTACTACTACAGCTACTACTACTACTACAGCTACTACTACTACTACTACAGCTACTACTGCTACAGCTACTACTGCTACTACTACTGCTACTACTACTACAGCTACTACTACTACAGCTACTGCTGCTGCTACTGCTACAGCTACTACTACAGCTACTACTACTACTGCTGCTACTACTACAGCTACTACTACAGCTACTACTACTACTGCTGCTGCTACTACTACTACTGCTACAGCTACTACTACTACAGCTACTACTACTACAGCTACTACTACTGCTACTACTACTACAGCTACTGCTACAGCTACTGCTACTTCTGCTACTACTACAGCTACTACAGCTACTACTACTACTACAGCTACTACTATAGCTACTGCTGCTACTACAGCTTCTACTGCTACTACTATTGCTACAGCTACTACTACTGCTACTACTGCTGCTACTACTACTACAGCTACTACTACTACTACAGCTGCTACTACTACTACAGCTACTACTACAGCTACTACTACTACTGGTACTACTACTACTGCTACAGCTACTACTACAGCTACTACTACAGCTACTACAGCTACTACTACAACAGCTACTACTACTACAGCTACTACTACAGCTACTACTACTACAGCTACTACTACTACAGCTACTACTACTACTGCTACAGCTACTACTGCTACAGCTACTACAGCTACTACTACTACAGCTACTACAGCTACTACTACTGCTACAGCTACTACTACTCCTGCTACAGCTACTGCTACAGCTACTACTACTGCTACAGCTACTACAGCTACTTCTACTACAGCTACTACTACTACAGCTGCTACTACTACAGCTACTACTACAGCTACTGTACAGCTACTACTACTACTGCTAGTACTACAGCTACTACTACTACAGCTACTACTACTACAGCTACTACTACTACAGCTACTACTACTACAGCTACTACTACAGCTACTACTACAGCTACTACTGCTGCTACTGCTACTACTACAGCTACTAATACTACTGCTGCTACTACTACTACAGCTACTACTACTACAGCTACTACTGCTGCTACAGCTACTACTACAGCTACTACTACTACAGCTACTACTACTACAGCTACTACTACAGCTACTACAGCTACTACTGCTACAGCTACTACAGCTACTACTACTACAGCTACTACTACTACAGCTGCTACTACTACAGCTACTACTACAGCTACTGTACAGCTACTACTACTACTGATAGTACTACAGCTACTACTACTACAGCTACTACTACTACAGCTACTACTACTACAGCTACTACTACTACAGCTACTACTACAGCTACTACTACAGCTACTACTGCTGCTACTGCTACTACTACAGCTACTAATACTACTGCTGCTACTACTACTACAGCTACTACTACTACAGCTACTACTGCTGCTACAGCTACTACTACAGCTACTACTACTACTACAGCTACTACTACTACAGCTACTACTACAGCTACTACAGCTACTACTGCTACAGCTACTGCTACAGCTACTACTACTACAGCTACTACTACTACAGCTGCTACTACTACAGCTACTACTACAGCTACTGTACAGCTACTACTACTACTGATAGTACTACAGCTACTACTACTACAGCTACTACTACTACAGCTACTACTACTACAGCTACTACTACTACAGCTACTACTACTACAGCTACTACTACAGCTACTACTACAGCTACTACTGCTGCTACTGCTACTACTACAGCTACTAATACTACTGCTGCTACTACTACTACAGCTACTACTACTACAGCTACTACTGCTGCTACAGCTACTACTACAGCTACTACTACTACTACAGCTACTACTACTACAGCTACTACTACAGCTACTACAGCTACTACTGCTACAGCTACTGCTACAGCTACTACTACTACAGCTACTACTACTACAGCTGCTACTACTACAGCTACTACTACAGCTACTGTACAGCTACTACTACTACTGATAGTACTACAGCTACTACTACTACAGCTACTACTACTACAGCTACTACTACTACAGCTACTACTACTACAGCTACTACTACAGCTACTACTACAGCTACTACTGCTGCTACTGCTACTACTACAGCTACTAATACTACTGCTGCTACTACTACTACAGCTACTACTACTACAGCTACTACTGCTGCTACAGCTACTACTACAGCTACTACTACTACTACAGCTACTACTACTACAGCTACTACTACAGCTACTACAGCTACTACTGCTACAGCTACTACAGCTACTACTACTACAGCTACTACTACTACAGCTGCTACTACTACAGCTACTACTACAGCTACTGTACAGCTACTACTACTGATAGTACTACAGCTACTACTACTACAGCTACTACTACTACAGCTACTACTACTACAGCTACTACTACAGCTACTACTACAGCTACTACTGCTGCTACTGCTACTACTACAGCTACTAATACTACTGCTGCTACTACTACTACAGCTACTACTACTACAGCTACTACTGCTGCTACAGCTACTACTACAGCTACTACTACTACTACAGCTACTACTACTACAGCTACTACTACAGCTACTACAGCTACTACTGCTACAGCTACTACAGCTACTACTACTACAGCTACTACTACTACAGCTGCTACTACTACAGCTACTACTACAGCTACTGTACAGCTACTACTACTGATAGTACTACAGCTACTACTACTACAGCTACTACTACTACAGCTACTACTACTACAGCTACTACTACAGCTACTACTACAGCTACTACTGCTGCTACTGCTACTACTACAGCTACTAATACTACTGCTGCTACTACTACTACAGCTACTACTACTACAGCTACTACTGCTGCTACAGCTACTACTACAGCTACTACTACTACTACAGCTACTACTACTACAGCTACTACTACTACAGCTACTACAGCTACTGCTACTACAGCTACTGCTACAGCTACTGCTACAGCTACTACAGCTGCTAAGTGGCTGGTGTGCTGGGTCGTGACGCCCCACCCACCCCACCGCTCCCCCCCAGGTGAGGCAGCAGGCTGGCAGCTGGGTCCGCCTCGTGTCCCGCCGCTGCCACCCGGACACGCGACTCTTTCTGTGCTCGCTGTTCGCCCCCGTGTGCCTGGGGGGTCCCCACCACCACCACCACCAGCAGCAGGGCCACCAGCACCACCAGCAGGGCCACCACCAGCAGAACCTCCAGGGTGGTCACCACCACCACCAGCAGGGCCACCAGCAGAACCTCCAGGGTGGTCACCACCAGCACCACCACCAGCAGCACCAGCAGGGCCACCAGCAGGGCCACCAGCAGGACCTCCAGGGCGGTCACCACCAGCACCACCACCACCACCACCAGCTGCAACAGCAGGGCCACCACCAGCACCACCACCAGCACCACCACCAGCAGCAGCAGCAGCTGCAGCAGGGCCACCAGCAGGACCTCCAGGGCAGTCACCACCACCACCAGCACCAGCAGCAGGGCCACCACCACCAACAGCAGGACCTCCAGGGCGGTCACCACCACCAGCACCACCAGCACCACCACCAGCACCAGCAGCAGCGTCACCACCACCACCACCACCACCGCCACCAGCACCACCACCAGCTGCAGCAGCGTCACCACCACCACCACCAGCTGCACCAGCAGCACCAGCAGCAGCGCCGCGAGTTTGCGGTGTGGCCCTGCCGCTCGCTGTGCCAGGCCGTGCGTGACGCCTGCTCGCCCCTCATGGAGGCCCACGGCTTCCCGTGGCCCGCGATGCTCGCCTGCGACACGCTGCCCGCCGAAACGTCGGGCATGTGCATACGGGGGCTGCACGCGGGGCGGAGTGGTGGAGGTGGTGGTGGTGGTGGCGGTGGTGGCGGTGGTGGTGACGGTGGTGGAGATGGAGGACTCGGAGGGAGGAAGCTGATTAATGCAACTGGAGGAGGAGGTGGAGGAGGTGGTGGAGGAGGTGGAGGAGGTGGTGGAGGAGGTGGAGGAGGTAGAGGAGGAGGCGAGGAGAGGTCACAGAGCTGGCAACGTGGAGCCGATGGCACGAGGAGCGGTAACTCCACCATCATCATCACCACCATCATCACCACCACCGTCACCATCACCACCATCACCACCATCACCACCATCATCATCACCATCATCACCATCACCATCACCACCATCATCACCATCACCACCATCACCACCATCACCACCATCACCACCAACATCACCATCACCACCACCACCATCACCACCATCATCACCACCATCACCACCACCATCACCACCATCACCACCATCACCACCACGACCACTACCATCACCACCACCATCATCACCACCACCAACATCATCATCACCATCATCACCATCATCATCACCACCACCATCATCATCACCACCACCATCATCATCACCATCACCACCACCACCACCGTCACCACCACCACTACCGTCATTATCACCATCACCACCTTCATCACCATAATCACCATCATTATCACCATCACCACCATCACCACCATCATCACCATCACCACTACCGTCATTATCACCATCACCACCTTCATCACCATAATCACCATCATTATCACCATCACCACCATCACAACCATCACCACCATCACAACCATCACCACCATCACCACCATCACCACCACCATCACCACCATCACCACCACCATCACCACCACCACCATCACCACCACGACCACTACCACCACCATCACCACCACGACCACTACCACCACCATCACCATCATCACCACCATCATCACCATCACCACCATCACCACCATCACCACCATCACCACCGTCATTATCACCATCACCACCTTCATCACCATAATCACCATCATTATCACCATCACCACCATCACCACCATCACCACCATCACCATCATTATCACCATCACCACCATCACCATCACCACCATCACCACCATCACCACCACCATCACCATCACCACCATCACCACCATCACCACCACCATCACCATCACCACCATCATCACCATCACCACCATCATCACCATCACCACCATCACCACCACCACCATCACCACCACCATCACCACCATCACCACCATCATCACCATCACCACCACCATCATCACCACCACGACCATCACCACCACCACCATCACCACCACCACCATCACCATCACCACCATCACCACCATCATCACCATCACCACCATCATCACCATCACCACCATCACCACCATCACCACCAACATCACCATCACCACCATCACCACCAACACCACCATCACCACCACCATCACCACCACCATCACCACCACGACCACTACCACCATCACCATCACCACCATCATCATCATCACCACCATCACCACCATCACCACCACCACCATCACCCCCACACCACACAGCCAATCACGTGTGTCCCCGTGTGCCCCCCCCCGTAACCCCCCCCGTGCCCCCCCCGTGCCCCCCCCGTGCACCCCCGTGCCCCCCCCCCCCCAGGCCTCCCGGTTTGCCCGCAGTGTGAGGAGCTGGAGACGTCTCAGGCCATCCTGGAGACCTTCTGCTCTAGCGAGTTCGGTAAGCACAGAGAGAGACCCTCCCCTACACACACACACATATACATACACTACACATACACACATTCACATATATATACACTACACATACACACATTCACACACACATACACTACACACACACATACATACACTACACATACACACATTCACACACACATACACATACACTACACACACACATACATACACTACACATACACACATTCACACACACACATACACTACACATACACTACACATACACACATTCACACACATACCCATACAATACACATACACTACACATACACACAGTCACACATACACACAGCCACACATACACACATATACATACACTACACATACACACATTCACATATATATACACTACACATACACACATTCACACACACATACACATACACTACACACACACATACATACACTACACATACACGCATTCACACACACATACACTACACATACACTACACATACACACACATACACTACACATACACACATTCACACACATATACATACAATACACATACACTACACATACACACAGTCACACATACACACAGCCACACATACACACATATACATACACTACACATACACACATTCACATATATATACACTACACATACACACATTCACACACACATACACTACACATACACACATATATACATACATACACTACACATGCACACATTCACACACACATATACATACACTACACACACACATACATATACACTACACATACACTACACATACACACAGTCACACATACACACACACACATATACATACACTACACATACACACATTCACACACACATATACATACACTACACATACACTACACATACACACATTCACACACATACACTACACATACACACACACTACACACATATACATACACTACACATACACACATTCACATATATATACACTACACATACACACATTCACACACACATACACACACACTACACATACACTACACATACACACACACATACATACACTACACATACACACATTCACGCACACATACACATACACTACACATACACTACACATACACTACACATACACACACATACACTACACATACACACATTCACACACACACACTACACACATATACATACACTACACATACACACAGCCACACACACATATACATACACTACACATACACACAGCCACACACACATATACATACACTACACATACACACACATACACTACACACATACACATACACTACACATACACACATTCACACACACATATACATACACTACACATACACTACACATACACACATTCACACACACATACACTACACATACACACACACTACACACATATACATACACTACACATACACACATTCACATATATATAGACTACACATACACACATTCACACACACATACACACACACTACACATACACTACACATACACACACATACACTACACATACACACATTCACACACACATACACATACACTACACATACACTACACATACACTACACATACACACACATACACTACACATACACACATTCACACACACACACTACACACATATACATACACTACACATACACACAGCCACACACACATATACATACACTACACATACACACAGCCACACACACATATACATACACTACACATACACACACATACACTACACACATATACATACACTACACATACACACAGTCACACACATATACATACACTACACATACACACAGTTACACATATATACATATACATACACTACACATACACACATTCACACACATATACATACACTACACATACACACATTCACACACACATATACATACACTACACATACACACAGTCACACATACACACATATACATACACTACACATACACACAGTCACACACACATATACATACACTACACATACACACAGTCACACATACACATATACACATACACTACACAACAACAACAACAACCGCCATTCGCCACTAAGTGGCGGTGACGTCACCACGACGCTTGTGCCAGGCTATGTGCACCCTGAGGCCACGTGAAGTGTCGAACGCCCGCTGGCAGGAGGTCACGGGGCAGACCCAGGTGCCACGGGTCGACTGACTGAGATGACTGGCTGATGCACCACCTGTGCCCCCTACTGTGCCAACCTGCTGTGCTTTAGCCACCCGGCGCTCCGCTCGCTGTTGTGAGCGTCGCTCCTCCGCCCTCCGTTGTTGTTGGAGGGCGACTGCCTCCAACTGCCCAGTAGCATCCTTCACGAGCCTCCTCCACAGAGGCCGATCTTGACACCGCTGGTACCAGTCATCGGCAAGTCCACTCAGCTCCACGTCCTCCTGTACCACATCACTCCATCTCTTCTCTAGCCCGTGCCGCGCCCGCTTAGCCCCCTCAATCCGGCCAAACAAAAGCTGTTTCGGCATGCGGTGGCTGGGCATGCGGCCTACATGACCCAGCCATCGCAGCCTTGCCTGTCGGAGGAGCTCACCGATGGGACCCTGCCCAGATCTTTCAAGGATTTGTGAGCTCCTCACACAATCCAGTCTGGTTAAACCCAGGATGGATCGTAGGCAGGCCAGCCTAAATGTTTCTAACCGGCGAAGATGTTCCGTTAGGGGGGTCCACGTTTCGCAAGCGTAGAGAAGGGAGGGAATGACCGTGGCCGAGAAGACCTGAAGCTTAGTGCAGAGCGACAGACCAGGTAGCTTCCACACAGCGTTACGCAACCGATGAAAAGATATTTCCGCTCGACTGATTCGGAGTGAGACCTCTGCTGTTAAACTGGAGCCAGTCATAAGCACACTGCCCAGGTATGGGAAACTCTCCACTCTCTCCACAACTGCCCCATCACCGATTGGGAGTTGTGGGGGTGGAGTGTCCGATGGTACAAAATACCCAGGCAGGTGCTTAGTTTTGGTGGGGCTGATGGTAAGGCCCCACCTCTTAGTGGCACGCTCCAGTCTCAGCAGCAGCGTCTCCAACTCCTCCTCTGACTGAGCAGCTATTACCAAGTCATCAGCATACATAACGTGGTTGAGCAATAGGGAGCCATCCCTTGACCGCACCCGGGCATCGATTAGCCTCCCATTATATCTGTACCATATGGAGATTCCCCCGGTACAGCTATTGAAGGCTTCACGAACTACGTGGTCAAAATAGATGTTAAATAATGTGGGAGCCAGAGGACATCCCTGTCGCACCCCAAGGTGTACAGGGAATGGCTCTGACTCCCGGCCACGTAGTTTTACCCGGGCCCGCTCACCATCATGAAGGTCCTTAATGATCGTGAGCAGAGGGTCAGGTACTCCAAAAGCACGAAGAACGACCCAGAGCCCAGGCCTACTGATGGTATCATAGGCCTTGACCAGGTCAATAAAGCAGAGATGTAGGTCTTGTTGGAATTCCCTACACCTCTGCTGTAGCAGACGGACAGAAAATATGGCATCTGTGCAGGACCGCCCTTTCCTGAAACCGCATTGGGGCTCCGCAAGCCTCTCCTCAGCGTGCCTGGCAAGGCGATGCTGAATAATCCTTGCCAGGACCTTTCCCGGCACACTGAGGAGTGAGATGCCCCTGTAGTTGTTACAGTCTACACATACACACATTCACACACACATATACAACAACAACAACCGCCATTCGCCACTAAGTGGTGGTGACGTCACCACGACGCTTGTGCCAGGCCATGTGCACCCTGAGGCCACGTGAAGTGTCGAACGCCCGCTGGCAGGAGGTCACGGGGCAGACCCAGGTGCCACGGGTCGACTGACTGAGATGACTGGCTGGTGCACCACCTGTGCCCCCTACTGTGCCAACCTGCTGTGCTTTAGCCACCCGGCGCTCCGCTCATTGTTCTGAGCGTCGCTCCTCCGCCCTCCGTTGTTGTTGGAGGGCGACTGCCTCCAACTGCCCAGTAGCGTCCATCACGAGCCTCCTCCACAGAGGCCGATCTTGACACCGCTGGTACCAGTCATCGGCAAGTCCACTCAGCTCCACGTCCTCCTGTACCACATCACTCCATCTCTTCTCTAGCCCGTGCCACACCCGCTTAGCCCCCTCAATCCGGCCGAACAAAAGCTGTTCCGGCATGCGGTGGCTGGGCATGCGGGCTACATGACCCAGCCATCGCAGCCTTCCCCGCCGGAGGAGCTCACCGATGGGACCTTGCCCAGATCTTTCAAGGATTTGTGAGCTCCTCACACAATCCAGTCTGGTTAAACCCAGGATGGATCGTAGGCAGGCCAGCCTAAATATTTCTAACCGGCAAGCGTAGAGAAGGGAGGGAATGACCGTGGCCGAGAAGACCTGAAGCTTAGTGCGGAGCGACAGACCAGGTAGCTTCCACACAGCGTTACGCAACCGATGAAAGATATTGCCGCTCGACTGATTCGGAGTGAGACCTCTGCTGTTAAACTGGAGCCGGTCATTAACACACTGCCCAGGTATGGGAAACTCTCCACTCTCTCCACAACTGCCCCATCACCAATTGGGAGTTGTGGGGGTGGAGTGTCCGATGGTACAAAATACCCAGGCAGGTGCTTAGTTTTGGTGGGACTGATGGTAAGGCCCCACCTCTTAGTGGCACGCTCCAGTCTCAGCAGCAGCGTCTCCAACTCCTCCTCTGAATGAGCAGCTATTACCAAATCATCAGCATACATAACGTGGTTGAGCAATAGGGAGCCATCCCTTGACCCCACCCGGGCATCGATCAGCCTCCCATTATATCTGTATCATATAGAGATTACCCCGGTACAGCTATTGAAGGCTTCACGAACTACGTGATCAAAATAGATGTTAAGTAATGTGGGAGCCAGAGGACATTCCTGTCGCACCCCAAGGTGTACAGGGAATGGCTCTGACTCCCGGCCACGTAGTTTTACCCGGGCCCGCTCACCATCATGAAGGTCCTTAATGATCGTGAGCAGAGGGTCAGGTACTTCAAAAGCACGAAGAACAACCCAGAGCCCAGGCCTACTGATTGTATCATAGGCCTTGACCAGGTCAATAAAGCAGAGATGTAGGTCTTGTTGGAATTCCCTACACCTCTGCTGTAGCAGACGGACAGAAAATATGGCATCTGTGCAGGACCGCCCTTTCCTGAAACCACATTGGGGCTCCGCAAGCCTCTCCTCAGCGTGCCTGGCAAGGCGATGCTGAATAATCCTTGCCAGGACCTTTCCCGGCACACTGAGGAGTGAGATGCCCCTGTAGTTGTTACAGTCTGTGTGGTCCCCCTTCTTAAAAAGGGGGACCACCAGGGCATCCTTTCAATCCTGCGGAACCCGTCCAGTGGTCCAGACCGTTGTTATAATGTCATATAGGGCAGTCTGTGCACAAACGCCACCCTCCCTCAGCATTTCGCTTGGGTGATCATCTCTGCCCGCTGCCTTTCCTGGTCTCATACTCTGGATTGCCTTCAGTACTTCCTAAACAGATGGCACCTCAGCCAGCCACTCACAGGGGGTGACTTCTTCCAATATTTGAGGCACCTCAGCCTCAGCAGGGTCATCCTCACTTTGTGCCACGATGTTTTCCTGGCTGAGGGATTTTCCCTCCCCCAGGACCTCACAGAAATGCTCAGCAAATCTGCAAACCTGTTCCTGGGGGCCGGAGATTGGATCACCGTTCTTTCCCCTAATGATGGTAATAGGTGTGGCGCTGCAGGTTACTTTTTTGATGGAGTTAAATAGAGATTTGTGATCACGGGCCACTGAGGCAGACTCCATCTCCTCAGCAACCCACGACCACCACCCATCCTTGCAGCGCCTCACGGCTCTCCGAACCTCCGAGCAAAGGCTGTGGTAATCCTCCTCATTCTCTGACGTGGCATTCTCAACTATCCTGAACACCTCCTCTGTCAGCCAGGTTCTCGTCCCCCACTCCTCCGACATCCGGAGGAGTGGGGGACGATGCCAACCCCAGCCGCAGGCGATGACGGAATTCTCGCTTGCAACTTTCATCAGATAACTGAGACCAGGCCACTTTAGGTTGGAATGGGGTCCGGGGTGTACACCCACCACCGGAGGGGAAGAATGGCAGGCGCATCTTACAGATGACAAGTCGATGGTCAGAGGGCAGATCAGCTCCACGGTTGGTCCTGGTGTCAAGAACATGGGCTCGCATCCGCTGGTCCATCACTATGTAGTCCAGCAGATGTTCTTGCTTGGACCCGGCATGCATCCATGATGTTGTGTGGATGCGCCGATGCCGGAACAGCGTGTTGGTAATTACAAGCCCATGGGCTGCACAAAAATCTAGCAGCCTCCTACTGTTGTTATTGAGCTGATCTGGCCCATGCCCTCCAATCACTCCAGACCAGGTGCCAGCATCATGACCCACTCGGGCATTTAAGTCACCCAACAAGATGACTCTATCCCGACGGGCCACTTTAGCCAGCACCTGTGACAGGAGGTCATAGAAGGCATCTGACTCATCGGCTTTGCCTGCATCCCTCCACGGATGTTCGTCTTCGGTGGGGGCATAAGTAACCACAACCACCACTCCTCGCCTCCGGTTGATGGGAAGGCGAGCCCAAAGTAGCCTGGGGCTTACAGCTTCCCACACCTCACCGCCACGCTCCCACGCCCCCTTCATTCTTTTGTTCATAAGAAGAGCCACACCCTGTTGTTTGACAGTCTGCTGCCCCGAGTAGAGGACTGTCCACCCCTCGTGGTGGCAGGAGCCAGAACCGGTTCACCGGACCTCCTGAATGCCACAGAGATCCAGGCGGTACCGGTCCAGCTCCCGACAGAGCAGTGGCAGCCTCTCCTCCGCGGTGAGCATTCAAACATTCCACGTGGCCATCCGTAGTGGCTTTCCGTTGTTTCTGGAGGAGCCCCGAGGGTAGATGTTCAATCTCCTGGCTCCGCCAATTGGGGTTTGGCCAGGAGACGTCATAGACGCCTGTCCCCCCGGGGCCACCGGCACAAGCTTATTAGTTAGATATGTTATACGTGGTTTAGTGTACATTTTTGAGGGTGGAGGGGTTACCAGCCCCTCGCACCCGTCCAGAGCCCCCGTTTAGCCACTGTGGTGGTCACAGATGCCATGAGGGGAGGAGCCAATCGGAATTGGACCTCCCCCCACAGCACTGTCCACGACAGAGTTGCCTGTCCGGCACCGCGAGGAGGTAGGGGGTTGTTTTGCCGGACAAATACACACACACAGACACACACATACACACCGACACACACACACACACAGTCACACACAGACACACATACAGCCACACACACACACACCCACACACAGACACACATACAGCCACACACACACAGATACAAACATACAGCCACACACACAGACACACACACACACAAACACATAGAGACACATATACAGCCACACACACACAGACACCCACACACAGACACACACACAGACACACACACACACCCACACACAGACACACACAGACACACACACAGACACAAACACACAGACACACACACAGACACCCACACACAGACACACACACGCACACACAGACACACACACAGACACACACACACAGACACACACACACCCACACACAGACACACACAGACACAAACACACACAGACACCCACACACAGACACACACACACAGACACACACACGCACAGACACACACACACCCCGGACCCCGCCCCCTCCACCCCTCCCTCTGCTCCCCCCCTCTTCCACCCCTTCTAACCCCCTCCCACCACCCCCCCCCCCACCAGCCCTGAGAATCCCCGCGGGGCTCAGCGTGGCCCTGCTGGGCCCCGACCTCCGACTCCGCGCGGGGAGGGGCCGCCCGCCCCGCCTCCTGAAGGCGGGGCCACTGCGCCCGGGAGACCTCGGGCCCCGCCTCCCCCACCCTCGTGGCCCCGCCCCCGACCCCGCCCCCTCCGTGGCCCCGCCCCTGGTGCTGCGCAACGGCGCGGCGTGCCGCTGCCCCCAGCTCGAGGCGCCCACCCAGCCGGGGCCCTTCCTCGTCATGGGGGGCGTGGCCAAAGGTGAGTGGGGGGGAGGGGTGGAGGGGGGGGAGGAGGGGGTGAGGGGTGTGACTCCACTATACACTACTGTACACTACTACTGCACACTACTACTGTACACTACTGTACACCACTGTACACCACTGTACACTACTGTACACTACTGTACATTACTGTACATTGCACTGCACACTGCACTGCACACTACACTGTACACGACACTGCACACTACACTGTACACTACACTGTACACTACACTGTACACTACACTATACACTACACTGTACACTACACTATACACTACACTATACACTACTACTACACACTACACTATACACTACACTATACACTACTACTACACACTACACTACACACTACACTATACACTACACTATACGCTACACTATACGATACACTATACACTACTATACACTACACTATACACTACACTGTGGTTGTCCCACACCTGATGACGATGGCTGTGGTTGTCCCACACCTGATGACGATGGCTGTGGCTGTCCCACACCTGATGACGATGGCTGTGGTTGTCCCACACCTGATGACGATGGCTGTGGTTGTCCCACACCTGATGACGATGGCTGTGGTTGTCCCACACCTGATGACGATGGCTGTGGTTGTCCCACACCTGATGACGATGGCTGTGGTTGTCCCACACCTGATGACGATGGCTGTGGTTGTGCCACACCTGATGACGATGGCTGTGGCTGTCCCACACCTGATGACGACGGCTGTGGTTGTTCTGATGACGACGGCTGTGGTTGTCCCACACCTGATGACGACTGCTTGTGTAGCGATCGAAGCGCCGCTGGACTTTTGCTACTTTCTTTGAAACCTCTCCACGCGAAATCTCGGTGTGAAGCTGCCGTGGTATGCAGGAACCCGTACCCTTTGGGTATTTCGGGGAACAATGGCGTAGATGGATTTCAAAGAAAATTAACAACAAAAGGACCATTCTGGCGAATTGCCCGATGATGCTGGATGTAATTACCAGCGAAACGTCGTACAACTCAAACTGTAAATGTTGTGGATTCGCTCTTCAACACACCGGTGGGCTAAAGTAGTGAATGATTAGTCTTCTTGTCAACGTGACACCTTTCTTTGCTGATTGGCCGTGTCGGGTGGTGGAGGGTTACGACACATTTATGAATGAACGCGATCTAACCCAAAAACCTTTATCATGAACGAAAGAACCATCGGCCTCTCGATAGCGACACGCGCGGCTGTCACCGGGAGGGATGATGGCCGCTTTGTACAGTTTTTTTTGTCACTGTTGCTGCCATTCACCCAAAGGAGGTGCATTTTGTGTTGATGCAGTCCTCGGTGTGTTTATAACAAGAGAAAGAGCACCGGGAACAAAAGGGGGGGTGGGGGGCTGTCTCAAGGTGGGGGGCCGCGCGTTTCTGTGGTCCGCGTGGAGTCACGAACCTCGCGAAAGCGGATCACGAAACTGAGTGAAAAATTCGTTTGAGGAACAGAAGAACTCAAAATGGAAATGCAAACGAGGGAGAGCGTCATTATGAAGTGGACTATCAAGTTAAAGCGGGGGGGGGGGGCAGGGGGGGCAGGGGGGGGCAGGGGGGGGCAGGGCTGGGGGGGGTTTGCGTGGAGAACAAAGACACCCTGAACATTATTTAGACCTCCTTTGCCAGTACAAAAATGTAATAATTATAATAATAGGGTTTTTCCCCTTTTTTCTGGCAACAAAACTGAAACCTTTTTACAAGGATTCATGTCTGCATTAACCACAATGCCTGCAGTCAAAATGCAAACTAAAAACACATACTATGATATAAGAATAGGTTTTACCCTTTTAACTGGCACAAAAACTGACGCCTTTATTCAAGGCATCATGTTTGCAATAACCACAACACAAGCAGTCAAAATGCAAACAAAAAAGACAACTCTGATAATAATATGCACTGTCCTTGAATTTGATTGATTGATTGGTCCACACCCGAGAAAACATACTATGATAATATATTGGCATTGTCCTTGAAACTGATTGGTCCACACCAAGGGACGGCTTTCTTTTTGAGCCTCGACCCAATTGGTGCTCGACCAGATGACGCCAAAAGGCGTCACACAGCTCAAAGACAACGCAAACTATCAAAGTAATGAGGACAATGCATATATTATCATAGTATGTGAGGACAATGCATATATTATCATAGTATGTTTTTTTTTTCGTGGTTAATGCAGTAGCGTGAATCCTTGTGAAAAGGTTTCAGCTTTGTTGCCAGAAAAAATGGGGGAAAAAACCCCTCTGTTATTACACCCTGAACGGTGACACAAAACAGAACAGGACACACGGAAAGAAGTAAAGAAATATGTCTAAATTAACGGAGCAAACTGATCACAAATGTGCATAAAGCAAGACCACTCACCGTTGGTGACGAAGAAATCCCAAGGACAAAAAAGGTGAAGGCGATACAAAGTTGTAGAGGCAAGGCGCGGGGCTCTGCGAGAACGCCTCTCACTCTCAATCTCTCTCCCCCCCCCCGCTCCCTCCCTCGCTCCCTCCCCCTCCTGCAAGACCGCTCGCTCACCGTGACGGGCATCGTGCCGCTGGGCAGGAGGGCACTGGCCAGGCGGAGTGGGGTCGAGGTGGCACGGGCAATGCGCAACATCAAAGCCAACCGCTGCCCCGGCTTCTCCACCACATTCTGACCGCCACATTCCAACTGCCGCATTCCAACCGCCGCATTCCAACCGCCGCATTCCAACCGCCGCATTCCAACCGCCGCATTCCAACCGCCGCATTCCAACCGCCACATTCCAACCGCCGCATTGCAACCGCCACATTCCAACCGCCACATTCCAACCGCCGCATTCCAACCGCCACATTCCAACCGTCACATTCCAACCGCCACATTTCAACCGACACATTCCAACCGCCACATTCCAACCGCCACATTCCAACCAACACATTCCAACCGCCACATTCCAACCGCCACATTCCAACCGCCAAATTCCAACCACCGCATTCCAACCGCCGCATTCCAACCGCCACATTCCAACCGCCAAATTCCAACCGCCGCATTCCAACCGCCACATCCCAACCGCCACATTCCAACCGCCGCATTCCAACCGCCACATTCCAACCGCCACATTCCAACCGCCGCATTCCAACCGCCAAATTCCAACCGACACATTCCAACCGCCGCATTCCAACCGCCGCATTCCAACCATCGCATTCCAACCGCCGCATTCCAACCGCCGCATTCCAACCGCCGCATTCCAACCGCCGCATTCCAACCGCCACATTCCAACCGCCATATTCCAACCGCCACATTCCAACCGCCACATTCCAACCGCCACATTCCAACCGCCGCATTCTCACCAGTCAACCACCTTCTTTGGTTCTTTCGGTAAAGTCACGTAGAATGAGAATAGAATAATAAATTAATGAAATTAAATAACACAATAAAATTCTCACGACGTTTCGGCCACAACACAATGCCACTTGTGCTGTGGCCGAAACGTCGTGAGAATTTGCCACTTGTGTTGTGGCCGAAACGTCGTGAGAATTTTATTGTGTTATTTTATTTTATTATTTTATTCTCATTCTACGTGACCTTACCGAAAGAACCAAAAAAGATTAATCCTTGCAGTCACGAAAGCTTTAAATCGAAACTCACCCACCTACTCACCCGTTCACCCACCCACTCACCCACCTACTCACCTGTTCACCCACTCACTCACCCACCTACTCACCCACCTACTCACCTGTTCACCCACCCACTCACCCACCTACTCACCCACTCACCCACCTACTCACCCACTCACCCACCTACTCACCTGTTCACCCACCCACTCACCCACCTAATCACCCACTGACCCACTCACTCACCCACCTACTCACCCACCTAGTCACCTGTTCACCCACCCACTCACCCACCTACTCACCCACTCACCCACCTACTCACCCACTCACCCACCTACTCACCTGTTCACCCACCCACTCACCCACCTACTCACCCACTCACCCACCTACTCACCCACTCACCCACTCACCCACCTACTCACCTGTTCACCCACCTACTCACTCAGTCATCCACCTACTCACCCACCTACTCACCTGCTCACCCACCTACTCACCTGTTCACACACCTACTCACCGACCTATTCACTCACCCACCCACCTACTCACCTGTTCACCCACCTACTCACCCACCTATTCACTCACCCACCCACCTACTCACCTGTTCACCTACCTACTCACCCAACTACTCACCTGTTCACCCACCTACTCACCCACCTATTCACTCACCCACCCACCTACTCACCTGTTCACCCACCTACTCACCCACCTATTCACTCACCCACCCACCTACTCACCTGTTCACCTACCTACTCACCCACCTACTCACCTGTTCACCCACCTACTCACCCACCTATTCACTCAATCACCCACCTACTCACCTGTTCACCTACCTATTCACCCACCTACTCACCTGTTCACCCACCTACTCACCCACCTATTCACTCACCCACCCACCTACTCACCTGTTCACCCACCTACTCACCCACCTATTCACTCACCCACCCACCTACTCACCTGTTCACCTACCTACTCACCCACCTACTCACCTGTTCACCCACCTACTCACCCACCTATTCACTCACCCACCCACCTACTCACCTGTTCACCTACCTACTCACCTATTTACCCACCCACCGTTTTGTGTTTGGTTTCTTGTTTTCCCTGCCGCCCGCACCTCTGATTAGCGCGGTTGGCTGTGTACGTACACACACACACTACACACACACTACACACACACAACACACACACACTACACACACACACTACACACACACACAACACACACACAACACACACAACACACACACAACACACAACACAAACACAACACACACACACCACACACACACAACACACACACTACACACAACACACACACAACACACACACAACACACACACACACCACACACACAACACACACTACACACACAACACACTACACACACACACGACGTACGTACACACACTACACACAACACACACACACGACATACGTACACACACACACAACACACACAACACACACACGACGTACGTACACACACACACAACACACACAACACACACACACAACACACACACAACACACACACAACATACACACGCATGACGTACGTACACACACACAACACACACACACACAACACACACACAACACACACACAACACACACACGCATGACGTACGTACACACACACAACACACACGATATACGTACACACACAACAAACACACACAACACACACACGCATGACGTACGTACCCACGACGTCACAGGCCAACTATGACCACGTGGCAAGCGTCACGGCCACGGCGGGCATCTGAGGCTTTGCTTGTGCCACGCCGGTCAGGGGAGGGAGGGAGGGGGGAGGGAGGGGGGGGGGAGGGGGGAGGGAGGGAGGGGGGAGGGAGGGGGGGGTGATCGTCGAAGTTGAGCAATAAATTAATTATTTAACAGCCCCCTCCGTTGCTTTTTTTCACGCCCCCCATTGCCACGCGCAAACAAAATGGCGGTGGTGGCCATTTTTTTGTGGCCACGTGGAAATCTCGAGGGAGGGGTGGGGGAGGCGCTGTCATCGTCGTCGTTACACCGCTCCCCACGCGCCGCGTGGCACACGAAGCAAAGTGAAAGATTCCTCACCCTCACCACCACGGTGTAGCCTTCGCTACCAACGCACTCACTCACCCACTCACCCACCCACCCACTCACTCACCTACTCACTCACTCACCCACTCACTCACTCACTCACCCACTCACCCGGTCACTCACTCACCCACTCACTCACCCACTCACTCACTCACCACTCACCCACTCACTCACTCACCAATCACCCACCCACTCATTCATTCACTCTCTCACTCACTCACTCACCCACTCACTCACTCACCCACTCACTCAACTACTCACTCACCCACTCACCCGCTCAGTCACTCACCCACTCACTCACTCAACTACTCACTCACCCACTCACCCGCTCACTCACTCACTCACCCACCCACTTACCTACCCACTCACTAACCCACTCACCCACGAACTCACTCACTCACCCAGTCACTCACCCAGTCACTCACCTACCCACTCACCCACTCCCTAACCCACTCACTCACCCACTCATCCACTCACCCACTCACCCAACAACAACAACCGCCATTCTCCACTAAGTGGCGGTGACATCACCAGGACACTTGTGCCAGGCTATGTGCACCCTGAGGCCACGTGAAGTGTCGAACGCCCGCTGGCAGGAGGTCACAGGGCAGACCCAGGTGCCACGGGTCGACTGACTGAGATGACTGGCTGATGCACCACCTGTGCCCTTTACTGTGCCAACCTGCTGTGCTTTAGCCACCCGGCGCTCCGCTCGTTGTTCTGAGTGTCGCTCCTCCGCCCTCCGTTGTTGTTGGAGGGCGACTGCCTCCAACTGCCCAGTAGCGTCCTTCACGAGCCTCCTCCACAGAGGCCAATCTTGAGCGTTCGAACATTCCACGTGGCCACCCGTAGTGGCTTTTCGTTGTTTCTGGAGGAGCCCCGAGGGTAGATATTAAATTTCCTGGCTCCGCCAATTGGGGTTTGGCCAGGAGACGTCATAGGCGCCTGGCCCCCCGGGGCCTCCGGCACAAGCTTATGAGTTACATATTTCAGTTTAACTCGTGGTTTAGTGGTAATTAATTGAAGGTGGAGGGGTTACCAGCCCCTCGCACCCGTCCAGAGCCCCCGTTTAGCCCCTGTGGTGGACACATATGCCATGAGGGGAGGAGCCAATCAAAATTGGACCTCCCCCCACAGCACTGTCCACGACAGAGTTGCCCGTCCGGCACCGCGAGGAGGTAGGGGGTTGTTTTGCCGGACACACAACAACACAACAACAACCGCCATTCGCCACTAAGTGGCGGTGACGTCACCACGACGCTTGTGCCAGGCTATGTGCACCCTGAGGCCACGTGAAGTGTCGAACGCCCGCTGGCAGGAGGTCACGGGGCAGACCCAGGTGCCACGGGTCGACTGACTGAGATGACTGGCTGATGCACCACCTATGCCCCCTACTGTGCCAACCTGCTGTGCTTTAGCCACCCGGCGCTCCGCTCGCTGTTGTGAGCGTCGCTCCTCCGCCCTCCGTTGTTGTTGGAGGGCGACTGCCTCCAACTGCCCAGTAGCATCCTTCACGAGCCTCCTCCACAGAGGCCGATCTTGACACCGCTGGTACCAGTCATCGGCAAGTCCACTCAGCTCCACGTCCTCCTGTACCACATCACTCCATCTCTTCTCTAGCCCGTGCCGCGCCCGCTTAGCCCCCTCAATCCGGCCAAACAAAAGCTGTTTCGGCATGCGGTGGCTGGGCATGCGGGCTACATGACCCAGCCATCGCAGCCTTGCCTGCCGAAGGAGCTCACCGATGGGACCCTGCCCAGATCTTTCAAGGATTTGTGAGCTCCTCACACAATCCAGTCTGGTTAAACCCAGGATGGATCGTAGGCAGGCCAGCCTAAATGTTTCTAACCGGCGAAGATGTTCCATTAGGGGGGTCCACGTTTCGCAAGCGTAGAGAAGGGAGGGAATGACCGTGGCCGAGAAGACCTGAAGCTTAGTGCGGAGCGACAGACCAGGTAGCTTCCACACAGCGTTACGCAACCGATGAAAAGATATTGCCGCTCGACTGATTCGGAGTGAGACCTCTGCTGTTAAACTGGAGCCAGTCATAAGCACACTGCCCAGGTATGGGAAACTCTCCACTCTCTCCACAACTGCCCCATCACCGATTGGGAGTTGTGGGGGTGGAGTGTCCGATGGTACAAAATACCCAGGCAGGTGCTTAGTTTTGGTGGGGCTGATGGTAAGGCCCCACCTCTTAGTGGCACGCTCCAGTCTCAGCAGCAGCGTCTCCAACTCCTCCTCTGACTGAGCAGCTATTACCAAGTCATCAGCATACATAACGTGGTTGAGCAATAGGGAGCCATCCCTTGACCGCACCCGGGCATCGATTAGCCTCCCATTATATCTGTACCATATGGAGATTCCCCCGGTACAGCTATTGAAGGCTTCACGAACTACGTGGTCAAAATAGATGTTAAATAATGTGGGAGCCAGAGGACATCCCTGTCGCACCCCAAGGTGTACAGGGAATGGCTCTGACTCCCGGCCACGTAGTTTTACCCGGGCCCGCTCACCATCATGAAGGTCCTTAATGATCGTGAGCAGAGGGTCAGGTACTCCAAAAGCACGAAGAACGACCCAGAGCCCAGGCCTACTGATGGTATCATAGGCCTTGACCAGGTCAATAAAGCAGAGATGTAGGTCTTGTTGGAATTCCCTACACCTCTGCTGTAGCAGACGGACAGAAAATATGGCATCTGTGCAGGACCGCCCTTTCCTGAAACCACATTGGGGCTCCGCAAGCCTCTCCTCAGCGTGCCTGGCAAGGCGATGCTGAATAATCCTTGCCAGGACCTTTCCCGGCACACTGAGGAGTGAGATGCCCCTGTAGTTGTTACAGTCTGTGCGGTCCCCCTTCTTAAAAGGGGGACCACCAGGGCATCCTTCCAATCCTGCGGAACCCGTCCAGTGGTCCAGACTGTTGTTATGATGTCATATAGGGCAGTCTGTGCACAAACGCCACCCTCCCTGAGCATTTCGCTTGGGAGATCATCTCTGCCCGCTGCTTTTCCTGGTCTCAGACTCCGGATCGCCTTCAATACTTCCTCAGCAGATGGCACCTCAGCCAGCCACTCACAGGGGGTGACTTCATCCAATATTTGAGGCACCGCAGCCTCAGCAGGGTCATCCTCGCTTTGTGCCACGATGTTTTCCTGGCTGAGGGATTTTCCCTCCCCCAGGACCTCACCGAAATGCTCAGCAAATCTGCGAACCTGTTCCTGGGGGTCGGAAATTGGATCACCGTTTTTTCCCCTAATGATGGTAATAGGTGTGGCGCTGCAGGTTACTTTTTTGATGGAGTTAAATAGAGATTTGTGATCACGGGCCACTGAGGCAGACTCCATCTCCTCAGCAACCCGCGACCACCACCCATCCTTGCAGCGCCTCACGGCTCTCCGAACCTCCGAGCGAAGGCTGCGGTAAGCCTCCTCATTCTCTGACGTGGGATTCTGTAGCCGATGACAGTGGGCCTGTCGCTTTTTCTCAACCATCGTGAACAACTCCTCTGTCATCCAGGGTGTCTGGGGAGGTCTGGACAGCGTACCCAAAGCAGCCATTGCAGCTGCATGAGTCACAGTCCTAAACCTTGCCCATTTACCCTCGACATCAGGAGGAGTCGGGGACGATGCCAATCCCAGCCGCAAGCGATGATGAAATTCTCGCTTGCAACTTTCATCAGATAACTGAGACCAGGCCACTTTAGGTTGGAATGGGGTCCTGGGTGTACACCCACCACCGGAGTGGAAGAATGGCAGGCGCATCTTACAGATGACTAGTCGATGGTCAGAGGGCAGATCAGCTCCACGGTAGGTCCTGGTGTCAAGGACATGGGCTCGCATTCGCTGGTCCGTCACTATGTAGTCCAGCAGATGTTCTTGCTTGGACCCGGCATGCATCCATGATGTTGTGTGGATGCGCCGATGCCGGAACAGCGTGTTGGTAATTACAAGCCCATGGGCTGCACAAAAATCTAGCAGCCTCCTACCGTTGTTATTGAGCTGATCTGGCCCATGCCCTCCAATCACTCCAGACCAGGTGCCAGTATCATGACCAACTCGGGCATTGAAGTCACCCAACATGATGACTCTATCCCGAGGGGCCACTTTAGTCAGCACCTGTGACAGGAGGTCATAGAAGGCATCTGACTCATCGGCTTTGCCTGCATCCCTCCACGGATGTTCATCTTCGGTGGGGGCATAAGTAACCACGACCACCATTCCTCGCCTCCGGTTGATGGGAAGGCGAGCCCAAAGTAGCCTGGGGCTTACAGCTTCCCACACCTCACCGCCACGCTCCCACGCCCCCTTCATTCTTTTGTTCAAAAGAAGACCCACACCCTGTTGTTTGGCAGTCTGCTGCCCCGAGTAGAGGACTGTCCACCCCTCATGGTGGCAGGAGCCAGAGCCGGTCCACCGGACCTCCTGAATGCCGCATAGATCCAGGCGGTACCGGTCCAGCTCCCGACAGAGGAGTGGCAGCCTCTCCTCTGCAGTGAGCGTTCGAACATTCCACGTGGCCAACCGTAGTGGCTTTTCGTTGTTTCTGGAGTAGCCCCGAGGGTAGGTATTCAATCTCCTGGCTCCGCCAATTGGGGTTTGGCCAGGAGACGTCATAGACGCCTGGCCCCCCGGGGCCTCCGGCACAAGCTTAGTTGTTACATATTTCAGTTTAATTCGTAGTTTCGTGGTAATTAATTGAAGGTGGAGGGGTTACCAGCCCCTCGCACCCGTCCAGAGCCCCCGTTTAGCCCCTGTGGTGGACACATATGCCATGAGGGGAGGAGCCAATCAAAATTGGATCTCCCCCCACAGCGCTGTCCACGACAGAGTTGCCCGTCCGGCACCGCGAGGAGGTAGGGGGTTGTTTTTTGCCGGACACACACACACAAACACACAGACACACACATACAAACACACACATACAAACACACACACACAAACACACACACAAACACACGCAAACATACATACACACACAAACATACATACACACACAAACACACGCAAACATACATACACAAACACACATTCACTGGGGCATTTTGCCATTTCCCCTACCCAACATGGCGACGTCTGCTCAGCTACCGTTGCGATTCCCCTACCCAACATGGCGACGTCTTGCTTAGTATCGTTGCGTTTCCCCTACACAATATGGCGACGTCTGCTCAGCTACCGTTGCGATTCCCCTACTCAACACGGCGGCGTCTGCTCAGTATCGGTGCGATTCCCCTACCCAACATGGCGACATCTTGCTCATCTACCGTTGCAATTCCCCTACCCAACATGGCGACGTCTTGCTCAGCTATCATTTCGATTCCCATACCCAACATGGCGACATCTTGCTCATCTACCGTTGCAATTCCCCTACCCAACATGGCGACGTCTTGCTCAGCTATATCGATTCCCCTACCCAACATGGCGACATCTTGCTCATCTACCGTTGCAATTCCCCTACCCAACATGGCGACGTCTTGCTCAGCAATCTTTTCGATTCCCCTACCCAACATGGCGACGTCTGCACTTCTACCGTTGCGATTCCCCTACCCAACATGGCGACGTCTTGCTCAACTCCCGTTGCGATTCTATTACCCAACATAGCGACACAATCTCCATATATATGTATAAAAGGCAACATTGTGAATATGTGTGTCTGTTCAAAATGTTTAGCGTACTTCCCGACATGCAACAAACTTGACATTTGGTTTAACACGTAGGCTTTCGCGACCAATATTATTAAGCATAATAAAGGTTTTTGGGTTAGATCGCTTTATTTATAAATGTGTCGTAACCCTCCACCACCCGACACGGCCAATCAATTGCCCACGTGACACTTTTTTTTGCTGATTGGCCGTGTCGGGTGGTGGAGGGTTACGACACATTTTATAAATAACGCGATCTAACCCAAACAAAAAAAACTTTTTTATGAAACTTGACATTTGTCATGTGGGTACTTTCCAGACTCTACACCGTGCAAACATTATTTACAAATACACTTTTAAATTTTGATTTAAAGCTTTCGTGACTGCATTAATTCATATTCTTAGTGCTTTCGGTAAAGTCACGTTATTATTTTATTGTTTCCCTTCAACGTGACTTTACCGAAAGAACTAGGAATATGAAATACGCTTTTGTATTTATTTATTTTTGCACGGCAAGTGAGCTGTGACGTCAGATCTGTCACGTGACCCGCGCAACGTGGCAACGTGACGCATTGTGGTGGAGGCGCGGCGAACCCCGAGTTCGACTCCCGCTCACGGCCAGCCTCAAATGAGTACCTGGTGCGGCGTGGGAGCATCGCCACTGGGGGATACAAAGGCGGCCGGGCGTGGTGAATCCAAGTCCCGGGCGAAGCCGGGTAGTAAAGCTAGTACCTATATATATACACACACGCGCACACACCAACAAAAAAACATATTCGACGTTAATTTTAAATGAGCGTGAGTGTCCTTTATTTTTATTTCACAAAAACTACATTTTAATAATTCATTAATTTCACCCCTACCCAAGATGGCCGCGCTTCCGGCGCCGCCACCCCCACCCACCCTTCCACCGACCCCGCCCCGCCTGAGACGTCACTCCCAGCATCCCCCGCGCGGCGCCGCCACTTCCGGCTGCCCCTCTCCCGTACGAGGAAGCTTCGTGGGGGAAAAAAAAATCCGCCGGGAAGAACGTCGCTCCGCAACGTCGCTCGGACGTTCGACGGCGACAACCTCCTCCGGAACTTGGCGAGAGAGAGAGCGAGCGAGAGAGAGAGAGAGAGACAAAGACGGTCCCCCGGCGGGAGGAGTGATTATTACTGAACGCGGTGAGTCCAGACTGGAAGGCCTTCGTCCCGTGCTTTGCAACGTCTCTTTGCCTTTTTTGTTTGGTTAACGGCAAATTACGATTTGTATTCTTGTTATGATGATGATTATTATTTGTGTTTGTTCATCCAGTGGATTGTATCTATCTATCTCTCTCTATATAAAATACTTATCGCGGTAACCCGGGGCTACCGAATAACTGGAAAATGGCCGAGGCAATTAAATGTTTAGTTTCTGAGGAAATTAAATGTTTAGTTTCTGAGGAAATTAAATGTTTAGTTTCTGAGGAAATTAAATGTTTAGTTTCTGAGGCAATTAAATATTTAGTTTCTGAGGCAATGAAATGTTTAGTTTCTGAGGCAATGAAATGTTTAGTTTCTGAGGAAATTAAATGTTTAGTTTCTGAGGAAATTAATTGTTTAGTTTCTGAGGCAATGAAATATTTAGTTTCTGAGGCAATGAAATGTTTAGTTTCTGAGGAAATAAAATGTTTAGTTTCTGAGGCAATTAAATGTTTAGTTTCTGAGGCAATGAAATATTTAGTTTCTGAGGCAATGAGATATTTAGTTTCTGAGGAAATAAAATGTTTAGTTTCTGAGGCAATTAAATGTTTAGTTTCTGAGGCAATGAAATATTTAGTTTCTGAGGAAATAAAATGTTTAGTTTCTGAGGCAATTAAATGTTTAGTTTCTGAGGAAATTAAATGTTTAGTTTCTGAGGCAATGAAATGTTTAGTTTCTGAGGCAATGAGATATTTAGTTTCTGAGGCAATTAAATATTTAGTTTCTGAGGCAATTAAATGTTTAGTTTCTGAGGAAATTAAATGTTTAGTTTCTGAGGCAATGAAATATTTAGTTTCTGAGGAAATTAAATGTTTAGTTTCTGAGGCAATGAAATGTTTAGTTTCTGAGGCAATGAGATATTTAGTTTCTGAGGCAATTAAATGTTTAGTTTCTGAGGCAATGAAATGTTTAGTTTCTGAGGAAATTAAATGTTTAGTTTCTGAGGCAATGAAATGTTTAGTTTCTGAGGCAATGAAATATTTAGTTTCTGAGGCAATGAGATATTTAGTTTCTGAGGCAAATAAATGTTTAGTTTCTGAGGCAATTAAATATTTAGTTTCTGAGGCAATTAAATATTTAGTTTCTGAGGCAATGAAATATTTAGTTTCTGAGGCAATTAAATATTTAGTTTCTGAGGCAATTAAATGTTTAGTTTCTGAGGCAATTAAATGTTTAGTTTCTGAGGCAATTAAATGTTTAGTTTCTGAGGCAATGAAATATTTAGTTTCTGAGGCAATGAGATATTTAGTTTCTGAGGCAATTAAATATTTAGTTTCTGAGGCAATGAAATATTTAGTTTCTGAGGCAATGAAATGTTTAGTTTCTGAGGCAATGAAATATTTAGTTTCTGAGGCAATTAAATGTTTAGTTTCTGAGGCAATTAAATATTTAGTTTCTGAGGCAATTACATATTTAGTTTCTGAGGAAATGAAATGTTTAGTTTCTGAGGAAATTAAATATTTAGTTTCTGAGGCAATTAAATGTTTAGTTTCTGAGGCAATTAAATGTTTAGTTTCTGAGGAAATTAAATATTTAGTTTCTGAGGCAATTAAATGTTTAGTTTCTGAGGCAATGAAATGTTTAGTTTCTGAGGCAATAAAATATTTAGTTTCTGAGGAAATTAAATATTTAGTTTCTGAGGCAATGAGATATTTAATTTCTGAGGTAATAAAATGTTTAGTTTCTCAGGCAATTAAATATTTAGTTTCTGAGGCAATTAAATGTTTAGTTTCTGAGGCAATAAAATGTTTAGTTTCTGAGGCAATTAAATGTTTAGTTTCTGAGGAAATTAAATGTTTAGTTTCTGAGGAAATTAAATTTTTGGTTTCTGAGGAAATTAAATATTTAGTTTCTGAGGCAATGAGATATTTAATTTCTGAGGCAATAAAATGTTTAGTTTCTCAGGCAATTAAATATTTAGTTTCTGAGGCAATTAAATGTTTAGTTTCTGAGGCAATAAAATGTTTAGTTTCTGAGGCAATTAAATGTTTAGTTTCTGAGGAAATTAAATGTTTAGTTTCTGAGGCAATGAAATTTTTAGTTTCTGAGGCAATGAAATATTTAGTTTCTGAGGAAATTAAATGTTTAGTTTCTGAGGAAATTAAATGTTTAGTTTCTGAGGCAATGAGATATTTAGTTTCTGAGGAAATTAAATGTTTAGTTTCTGAGGAAATTAAATGTTTAGTTTCTGAGGAAATGAAATATTTAGTTTCTGAGGCGATTAAATATTTAGTTTCTGAGGCAATAAAATGTTTAGTTTCTGAGGCGATTAAATATTTAGTTTCTGAGGCAATAAAATGTTTAGTTTCTGAGGCGATTAAATATTTAGTTTCTGAGGCAATCAAATATTTAGCTTCTGAGGCAATGAAATATTTAGTTTCTGAGGAAATTAAATATTTAGTTTCTGAGGAAATTAAATATTTAGTTTCTGAGGAAATTAAATATTTAGTTTCTGAGGAAATTAAATGTTTAGTTTCTGAGGTAATAAAATATTTAGTTTGAGGAAATTAAATGTTTAGTTTCTGAGGAAATTAAATATTTAGTTTCCGAGGAAATTAAATGTTTAGTTTCTGAGGCAATAAAATATTTAGTTTCTGAGGAAATTTAATATTTAGTTTCTGAGGCAATGAAATATTTAGTTTATGAGGCAATAAAATATTTAGTTTCCGAGGAAATTAAATGTTTAGTTTCTGAGGCAATAAAATATTTAGTTTCTGAGGAAATTAAATGTTTAGTTTCTGAGGAAATTAAATGTTTAGTTTCTGAGGCAATTAAATATTTAGTTTCTGAGGCAATTAAATGTTTAGTTTCTGAGGCAATTAAATATTTAGTTTCTGAGGAAATTAAATGTTTAGTTTCTGAGGCAATTAAATGTTTAGTTTCTGAGGCAATTAAATATTTAGTTTCTGAGGCAATGAAATGTTTAGTTTCTGAGGCAATAAATGTTTAGTTTCTGAGGCAATAAATATTTAATTTATGAGGCAATTAAATATTTACTTTCTGAGGAAATTAAATGTTTAGTTTCTGAGGAAATTAAATGTTTAGTTTCTGAGGAAATTAAATGTTTTGTTTCTGAGGAAATTAAATATTTAGTTTCTGAGGCAATGAAATATTTAGTTTCTGAGGCAATTCAATGTTTCGTTTCTGAGGCAATGAAATATTTAGTTTCTGAGGAAATTAAATGTTTAGTTTCTGAGGCAATTCAATGTTTCGTTTCTGAGGCAATTAAATGTTTAGTTTCTGAGGAAATTAAATGTTTAGTTTCTGAGGCAATGAAATATTTAGTTTCTGAGGCAATTAAATGTTTAGTTTCTGAGGAAATTAAATGTTTAGTTTCTGAGGCAATTACATGTTTAGTTTCTGAGGCAATAAAATATTTAGTTTCTGAGGAAATTAAATGTTTAGTTTCTGAGGCAATGAGATATTTAGTTTCTGAGGAAATTAAATGTTTAGTTTCTGAGGCAATGAAATATTTAGTTTCTGAGGCAATAAAATATTTAGTTTCTGAGGCAATTAAATGTTTAGTTTCTGAGGAAATTAAATATTTAGTTTCTGAGGCAATGAAATATTTAGTTTCTGAGGCAATTAAATGTTTAGTTTCTGAGGCAATTAAATATGTAGTTTCTGAGGCAATTAAATGTTTAGTTTCTGAGGAAATTAAATATTTAGTTTCTGAGGCAATGAAATGTTTAGTTTCTGAGGCAATGAAATATTTAGTTTCTGAGGAAATTAAATGTTTAGTTTCTGAGGCAATTAAGTATTTAGTTTCTGAGGCAATTAAATGTTTAGTTTCTGAGGCAATGAAATATTTAGTTTCTGAGGCAATTAAATGTTTAGGTTCTGAGGGAATGAAATATTTAGTTTCTGAGGCAATGAAATATTTAGTTTCTGAGGCAATTAAATGTTTAGTTTCTGAGGCAATTAAATGTTTAGTTTCTGAGGCAATTAAATATTTAGTTTCTGAGGAAATTAAATGTTTAGTTTCTGAGGCAAGGAAATATTTAGTTTCTGAGGCAATGAAATATTTAGTTTCTGAGGAAATTAAATGTTTAGTTTCTGAGGCAATTAAATGTTTAGTTTCTGAGGCAATCAAATATTTAGTTTCTGAGGAAATTAAATATTTAGTTTCTGAGGAAATTCAATGTTTAGTGTCTGAGGCAATTATGAAATGTGTTATTTCTGAGGCAATTAAATGTTTTATTTCTGAGGCAATTATTTAATTTCCGAGGCAACCAAGTATTTTAATTCTGGGACACTTTATTATTTTTTTTGTCCCCAGGGCTGTACTTTGAGGGGCGATCCATTCAGTAGCTACACAAAACAAATCTGTCAAATCTTGACCCCTATGACCCCTCTTCCCTGTATGCACGCCGTCTTTGTAGCCTTCCCAATACCCCGGGGGGGGGGGGTCCACGCTACCCTTGGGGGGGGGGGGGGGTCCACGCTACCCTGGGGTACCGCTATAATAAGGTTGATCATCTTGATTTGAAGCTTTCGTGACTGCAGGAATCCATGTGTTGTGGTGGTGGTGGTGTAGTGGGGTGGTGGTGGTGTAGTGTGGTAGTGTAGTGATGGTGTAGTGGTGGGGTAGTGTAGTGGTGGTGGTGGTGGTGTAGTGTGGTAGTGTAGTGATGGTGTAGTGATGGTGTAGTGTGGTGGTGGTGTAGTGTGGTGGTGGTGGTGTAGTGTGGTGGTGTAGTGTGGTGGTGTAGTGATGGTGTAGTGTGGTGGTGGTGTAGTGGTGGTGGTGTAGTGTGGTGGTGGTGTAGTGTGGTGGTGGTGGTGGTGGTGTAGTGGTGGTGGTGGTGTAGTGTGGTGGTGGTGTAGTGTGGTGGTGGTGGTGGTGTAGTGATGGTGTAGTGTGGTGGTGTAGTGTGGTGGTGTAGTGATGGTGGTATAGTGTGGTGGTGTAGTGATGGTGTAGTGTGGTGGTGTAGTGA